ATTAAGATTGATGTATTGTCGCGTATCCTCAGCAGTACCCTCCTTCGGTCTCTCCCTGTGTCTACTTCCCGGTTGGTTCTGGACATGGTGCTGTTGTCTGCTGTTTCTGCGCTGCTGTGCTGTGTGTGTGTGGCGTACAGGGGCTCCGTACTGCTGCGCATACCCTAAATTTGATTCACGGAGCCCCTAAGAAAACATCGGTCGGAACATCGGCACGAATTTTCGATACCGATATCGATATATATCGGACGATATATATCGTGTACATCGTTCCGATTCACAACTCTAGCGAAAACCCTGTTTAGTCTAGTCTAATTATTTATTTTGTTTTGTTTTATTTGTTTCTGATTATTTTTGTTTTCTTGTATTTTATCGCTCTGCTGACCCTTGGGGTCCATTTTATTTTGGTATACCTTTTCTAGGTACGTTAGCCTGTGACCACGGAAATTGGCCGAGTCAAGTGATGGATTAGTACAGAGAGATTGAGACAGAAGGAGGTACTGGATAGAGAGACCGGGATGGTTTTTAATGTGAAGACAACAACAACAACAACCACGTCACCAGGCTTCCACGCCACATCAAGAGATACCAGTCCATACCCGAACTATCACGCTCCATCCCAAAGTAGAAGGCTGTCACGCCCATCATAGTTCCTACACTGTACCGTTGGCGGCTACCGCGCCGCTGGCTCTTTTATGTCCCAACCAAGGGACCCCGCGCGCTAAGGCGCCGACGCACAAAGCTACTCAACAGGCTGGCTGGTGTCCGGTGGACTTCCAACAGAACAATAAATAAATCCAAACGAAGAATTTAATTGTTCTTTGGAAGTTGCATACAGCAGTATATTGTAGCCTGACAGTCTAGACTAGACTAGTCTAGACTACACATGACAGCGTGTTGTTGACATCCACACAGAAGCCACCGAAGACTTTTGCCTGACTATCGGAGCAGCCCCTGCGCACCGCTGGAGGCGGAGCGATAGGGTGCATGGTCTGGTGCATGCCATCGCGTGCCGCTATAGTTGAACAACCACGAGCCCAAAACCCCGTTATTTTCCGGCTCGAACGGAGTTGCGTTGTCAGGATGATGACATGCCCGCGACCGGACCAGACGCGGAAAGATAACCGGAAATCGTATTATTTGAATTTCCCACCACTGGCAGTGCGTGTGCGCAAGCATACGGGCGCGCCCAGAGCAAAATACGGCCTTTCGCCGCAAGAGGTGGGGCAGGTTCGCTCGAACCGACCCCCAGCGTTCGTTCATATCTCTCTCCGCTTCCTAGCAATAGCTAGCTAACTGCCATGATCCGACAAACGTGTGCATGTTCATACAGACGTAGGTCCGCAGCGCGGGCGCCACGCACGCTGTCCTGGGCTGCAGATGGAGTGTGCCGTAAGGTGCCCGACTCTGTAGAGCGGTAAGGGGGGGGAAATAATCCGCACAGGACGCAACCATAAGACCGCGACCTTTGTTTTGTGCGTCACCCCTCTCCGCGCTTGTTCGAGAGTCAGTGGTCCTGCTCGCGCCACAGAAGAAGAGGGACAACTTGGAACACTGCCGCCGGCGGTCCTATCGGAGCGAACCTGCCGCGGAAGCAATCTTTCATCACGCCCAAAATAGCTTCGCGGTGTGCAGGGGGCCAACCCTCTCCGACGCAAGAGGGAGCTGACTTGTTCTGGAGGAGCACAAACACAGAGCTGACTACTTCGAGAAGGCGATGAGCGATCGCGAAACCTCCGATGAGGAAAGTAAGTTTCGCAGCAGCCAAACCAATGGATGAATCAAAATAAATGTCAGACCTCGTCGCTGGTGAAAAGGGATTTTCGTTGTGGCCCTCGTTCCATGGCAAAATGGTGGTTGCGTAGGAGCAACAACAGCGAGAAGGGTTAGAGATACCTACTGCTGTAGCAGGTTGCAGCGGGCCTCCCTTCCTCGCAGTAGTGGGCAATGTTCATCCAAGCCGTGATGTTGCCCCCTGCCGTTGACCTGAGTGCGCTGCCGCGTCGAACCCTCGTTTCGCAGGCCTTGAGGAGCAATCGGGCGGAAATGATGGTGGTGGATTCAACGCAGACCTGCTAGAAGACGAACCAGGTTCGGACTACTGCTGCACATGCACTTGTGCAGCACCGTTTAGCTTAGGCTCGAGGCACTTCCATAGCAGCAACGCGAGCTCATGATGTGTGCGCATGTTCGCTCTCTTTGTCGCTTTCCATCTCCCTCGTAATTTTCAATTTTGTCTCCACGCGGATAGACTATCTACAGATATGGGAGAGGGCGCGAGAAGCTTGCACACATGATACCCCGCTCCCCTGACTTTTTTTCCGCCTTGACGTGTCGGTGTACCAGCAGTGGAGGCAGACGGGTATTTTTGCCACAGGTGTGGTACTGCTGTAGTCTAGGTGAGCGGTAGCAGTCGCCAGAGGCTGCATTCTTGGCCTTTCTTTTCTACTGTACATGATGTCCCGCATCGACACTGCGACATGTTCATCTCGCGACGTGTATGCTATGTTGTTGTTGTTGTTGTTGTTGACTTCACATTAACCGTTTAACCGTATGCAAAGACTCTTAGCCCGTGGTCACGAAAGTGCTAGAGCCATCTGAGGATCTAAAGAACACGCACACGTAGCAAGAAAAAGGTATCAAAGAGCCCGAAGAGGTACTACTACACCTATATATAATCCCTGCAGCACCGTACGCGTGCCCAAAACTGAACTACACGTCCGTCTCACCGTTCGACTACAGTAACATCACCCCCTACCTGTCCCACTCTGTACCAAAACGAATGATTGCCGACTACAGCATACTTGCTGTCTGAAGTGCTGTCTGTACAAAAACACCATGGTAGGCATGGAACAAGAAGCTGGCGGGGCACAAAG